TAACAACTCATCAGAGGGCTGTTATAAATAAGGTTGTTGTTGCACTGGAATTACGTAGGAGCAAACAAAGTCTGAGTATATCCTCGTCCACAGAAAGCATGTAATTTATTTTGTTAAACCTAAACTATTCAGCGGAACTCTAACCGTGACCGCTATCTCTAACTCTTAACGTTGATCTCACTCTATAATCACAATGCAATTGCTCGATTGAACATTTAAATGTCTTCTATGTTCACCTGGCGAGACGATTTTAATAGACGAACCAATCAGAAACGTCCTAGAGATATCAAGGGTACAGCGCCAACTACAGTGCTTAATGCTGACGTATGATCGGCTCACACGGAATTTTGTAAAAATCGTGGTAATTGAGCGGCTATAACAAATAAAACTGCAAGACTATCACTTGTGGACGAGTCAGTCAGGTATAAGATAATAAATCTCGGGGTTTAACGCGATAGCCTTTCATGCACTTGGTTAAATAAATTTCTGGCCTTATAGCTCGAGCTCCCAACTTTGGGGAAACTCTCGAAGTCAGATGACCTTCACCAATGTTTATGGGAATTTTGGGGAAACCTCCAAAGTCAAATGACTTTGACCAATGTTAGAGGGGAATTTCCCCAAAATGTGCCAAGTTTTCCCCGAAATCGGGAGCTCGGGAGCTGATGCCAGTTTGTGATGAAAACCCCATATATAGATTACGGTCTCGCCGTAATCACGAAAATTCTAGCCTGAAACATACCACTGAGGGAGAGATTTTCTACATAGTCGTGAGATGGTTGCTTAGTTGTAACAGCCTCTGTGCACTGATTCCCTAATCTGCCTCTTTTGATTCGATTGAAAAGGCGAATTGCGAATCGGCAGCTCCATACAAACTAACGATTTTTTTCATCCTGTCCTCAGTGAAAAGAGTTAGTATTCCAGTTGATATGTCAACCCGTGGCGTGTCTTACAGTGGCGATCCAATATCCCTTGTATGTGTGTTTCCCCTCACTAAGTCGCTAGCTGGATTTCATTTCCATATTCGGACACAAAAATGAATTTTTGTACAAAATTATCTGTGTACAACTAGTAGGTATCCTGAAATTGTTAATTGTTCGTGGGAGCTGTTGGTCTGCTCACTATTGCGATCATTTTCAACAACAATGAAGTAATGAATGTGTGTTTAATTACTCCTAACCCACCTAATGTTATCAGTCAGTTTGTTTCAACTACCCAGAAACTGGAAGATAAACCTCCAACTTCAGTTTACTCACAAATTATCTGGCATCACAAGTCATATAACTTGTGTGTTAGATTTTGTTAGAAATACATTCATCATTCCATGTTTCTACACTTTGCTACTACTTTCAATGAAATAGCACTCATCGACTTCACGAAGTACGTTTTCCCTACGAATATTAAGGTAGTAACAACTATTTGAATATTAAAATTTACTCATTTTGTGCAAGGGTAAATAAACTGTTCCTGACTCGTCACATTTTCCTATCTTAGTATGCGGTGTGTAACAACTAGTTCCCGTGGGCTGAAAAGCCATCATATAAAGCAAACAAGGAATTATAAACTTAGAAAATGTAACTTATACTATTAGTACTAAGTCCTATGCTCTTGTGAGATAGTATTTCAAATTTGCTCAACTTTTATTCTATTATCAAATTTGCAATTTTAATGTACCTAGAAGAAATAGCTTTTGAAGGACAGCAATTAAGTGCACGTGCTTAAGTAGGTTTTTAGTGTTTAGTCGTTGAAAATGAATATTTCGAATAAGATACTGAAATGTTCGAAGACTTGGGATTGTTGTGGTTTTATAATATACAATGAACTAAGGTATATGGTCTATTAACAACTAAAATTGTCTTTTATGCCTAATGTGATCATTTATGCTATGCAAAACTTGTTTTATTGTTGGTAAGTTAACGTTTACTAGTGACTCTAATCCGAAATATCTTCCAAAAAGTTCCCAGTATTTATTGTAGTATTTCATTTATCTTGAGATATCTGTAATTAAGTAACGGCGTTTTACTGCTCATTAAATATTAACCGATCGACTTGGTTTTCTCTATCCAATTTATAGTACAACGGATCGTAACAGTCATGGTAAATGCGAATGTCGATAACTTGGTTAAAATTTGTCTACCTATGTTCATTGGAATAGCCTTACGCTCATCAACCAGTTTACACTCATATTCCGGCGAAAATAAACCACCCATGTATGGTGACTATGAAGCTCAACGTCATTGGATGGAAATCACCGTTAATTTACCATTCGCAGAATGGTATATCAACTCAACACATAATGATTTGAATTATTGGGGGTTAGATTATCCACCTGTTACGGCATATCATAGTTGGCTGATGGGTAAACTAGCTAATAAAATTGACCGTGATTGGGTTCAGTTGTACACATCGAGAGGTTTCGAATCTAAAGAGCACAAATTGTTTATGCGTTATACTGTACTGGTAGCTGACTTATTGTTTTTTATACCTTCCGTATTACTGTATTTTTATTATGTTCTACCTAGCATTATGAATAATAAGTCACAAATTAGTGGATTTTATTCAGCATGCCTAACATTAACTTATCCTGGTCTTATATTGATTGACCATGGACACTTCCAATATAATTGTATCAGTCTTGGTTTGTATTTGAGCGGAGTTAATTTCCTCCTCCTAGAGTGGGATATGCTCGGTTCTATATTATTTTGTTTAGCCATAGGTTATAAACAAATGGAACTATATCATGCGTTGCCAATTTTTTTCTTTTTATTAAGCAACTGTATTTACAAAAAATCCGTGCGTAGTGGAATAACACATCTAGCTAGACTGAGCTGTGTCGTTTTCTTGACAGTATTTTTGATATTTTCACCGTTCTTACTAACAACCGATTTGAATCTTTCATTTCAAGTCGTCCGACGTTTATTTCCGTTTGATCGCGGTATTTACGAAGATAAAGTATCTAATTTTTGGTGTGCTACATCACCGCTAGTAAAATGGCGTTCACCACTCCCTACGTCATCCTTAACATTATCGTCTACTAAATTGGTGTGGGTTAGTGTCCTGCTCGTACTGACTACATGCCTTCCAGTTTGTATAGCTTTATTAAAGAAGTCTAAAAACCAAAAATTCCTGATTTCTCTAGCACTATGTGCGTTAAATTTCTACCTATTTTCCTTCCAAGTTCATGAAAAATCAATTTTGTTAGTGTCTATCCCTGCTTTGTGTTTGCTACCTTTTTATCCCATATCGTCATTTTTGTTCTCTTTATGCTCTACTCTTAGTATGTGGCCATTATTTAAAAAGGACGGTTTACAATTGGCTAGTTTGTGTTTAACATGTATACATACCATTCTAGGCTGTTTTATAATACTTAAAAGTAACAATAGTGATAAACATGTTGCTGAAAAAAAGAAATTACAAAATAGTGCTACGAGTAATAATATCATCTCTATATTTATCATTCTTTTTATTCTTATTGGCTATAGTATCTTGATTATCGGTGACTTACTGATTACACCTCCTGTAGCATATCCCGATTTATTTCCTTTGTTACTTTCTATGTACTCCTTCACGCTGTTTTTCTTATTCATGCTCTATTGGCAGTTAGAAGTTATTTTTATGTAAAACTTTGTGTTTAGTTATGTTTCTAAGAAGAATATATGTTCATGAAGTTCGCGTTCTATACTTCAAAAGTTTAGTTTGCTGGCTAATTTATTCTATTCGGTATACACTAACATGCTCGTAATAGGAATAGATATATCTTTATAATAAGCTTTGTGACTCAATGGGAGAGTATTACAATTTTTTACTGCAGGCAAATAGATTAACTACTATATTCATGATGCAACATAGCTTTAAACATCCAAGGACAGGGTAAGAGTAGGGTGTAGCTGGGCCTGTCTCAGCCACGCATCAGTTTAACGTCTTTATCAAGTTCATCAAACTTTGCCTCAACATCGATCATACGGTGATCCGAACACATGCAAGCAGTGCTTCGAGGAATATGTAATAACAGCAATTTCATGTATCCACTTTTAAAGATCATATCTCAAACGAACTGCTGATTGACAGATAACTTGTATAGTCAAGGAGACAAATCTTGGGTTTCATCAATGTCCGAAACAATACTACTGGTGGAAATTCTGGAACAAGTGAAACAGGCAATACACTGTAACACTAGACTAGCCACTGATTCAAATCAGTCCAGAAGCAAGCATCTAGAACAGGATTTTGTATCTATGACAATTTGATAATAATAGTAATTTCATATAGACGCATATATATTGGCGCTCTCTTGTACCAATATTTATGTGTTCAAATAAATAAATAATCTATGACAATTTAAAGGTTGAAGGTAGATACATAACATAGTAAATGCATGTGCCGATTCGTCACATCCTGTAACTTCCTAACTTTTTGGGTAAATAAACTTAAGTAGGCTGATGTAATCCCTTGGCCTGCGTTCCAGTGGCAAACACAGCTATTAGATTTCAGTTGCCGACGAATTGAGCCGAAAATTGCGACAGTATCAACCAAATTTGTAGTCAGTAAAACTTGATACGTGTGTACATCGGTTTAATAAGCCATACTCCATTTGCACAAGATCAGACTGTCAGGGCAAATCCCAAAGCAGCAAAGGTAGTAACATTATTAGTGGTAATATAAGCTATTAGCAAAACATAACTCATGTCTTACAAAATAGGTAGGAATTAAGCCGGATATCTAGAGCAGTATTACTGACTAAAATCTAGCAACATGTAGTTACCTGCAAAATACCGTTTAAACACGTTAATTTACCGCAGTTCATTTTGTAAGGATATCGAATGATACATTAGCCATTTTGTCCCGTAATAGTTATGCAGCAAGGATGATTATACACCAACTACGCATAGTCGACATACCATCACCACTACTACAACATTCAACCACACATCTAGTATTTATTTGTCCAAGCTTCGTTATGTGATACTAGGACAAGCCATTACCTAAAAAATAGCAGGTGTATTCTGGAAAGTACCGTACTGGACCAACTACTAAAAGGAAAATTATGATGTAAACTTGAGACTTGACAACGAACTCAAAATATTTTTTATGTATTTACACTTAAAAATTGTTTAAGGGTATGAACTATGAAAACGAATGTCTTGCCGCAAAAATTTATTTCAAACGATGTAAACAAAGCCACGAATCGACTGCAGTGTAGAATTTCTGGTGGTCCCCTTTATAATAAGGGATGTGCCAACCGGTTTCTAGGTTACCATGTACACACAAGTCACACTTTGAGGGTTTCTGAAAGATAGCATGTAAACAAAATGAAGAATAAATATATTTAAAATTTTTATCCAGATAATGATGAAAACGAACTGGAATTTATGGTGTCAACTAAAACTGCAAGACTACCGGTTGTCCATTTATTTATTTAAACAACTGATACAAAGAGGCACTAAATATGTAAGTTCCACACTCCGTCATTCGATTTTTGTGAAGGTTGGAATAGTGCCCAGAAGCTAAAACCGAAATGTTATTTTAGGGGGTTGCAGCCCGACCTCTTGACCCAGATGTCTAATCCACTAGGCAGTGAAGCAACGTAAGGAGATGCAGTCCCATGGTAGTTAGTGACCAATATTAGGTTCGCACGCCATTCCTCCCTTCAAGATCCTGGAGGTCATTTGCAACACAGTTTTGGAAGCACGTTTTCTCCCACAGATGGATTTTCCATATCGATCAGCCAGGTCAAAACGCCGGACGTTGGGTTTCTGTCTTCTCAATTTTGTAAACACCCCTCCTCGTGATAAGACAGTGAGCAAGACTTCCCTAGCAGTGGCTGTGTACGCACGGCCATGTGAGAGCACCTGGACAGGGAGAGCGGACTCATCAATATTGGCCGTACCAGGGCATTTGGGGTGAGACTGTCCATATCCGCTCGTAGACCTTCAGCTTACATTTTATGCTTTACGGTTTGGTCTGCTTGTATATAAACCACATGTGTCTGAAACATGCTTGATATATTAGAGGCTGGATTTTACATTTTGGTCTAGGCAAGTAGATACTATACAGAGTTGGTTAACATATCATTGGTTTAACATAGGGACAGAGTCATATAGTCGGTATTCAGACTAGTGATTTTGTCACGTGATATTTGACAGGCTATGGAACATAACACTAATTACTACCCTCTCGCAGCGGTTATTGCATATGAAACATCCGTTTTGGCAGACTAAAAGGGAATGTCTGTAGTCTTCGCCGGGTTGGTGGTACGGGGAAATCACCTAGGTGAATTGGAAAACTCTGATTTCAAAACAGTGGTCATATGGGCTAGGGATACTAAGGGAACAAATGGCGTATGAACCTAACCTTGGTCACTGGTTACCATGAGGCTGCATCTTCTTGTGTATCGGACCTCCAGGTCAAAGGGTCGGACAGCGACCCCCTAAGAAAACCACCTACTACCGTTTGGGCACCTGGGCAGATTTCTAGTTCACACAACTCAAATGGTGCCCACAACTGGGGAAAATTATGCTCACTCCAACCATCATCATGAGAACGATTCGGTACCATTCTTCCTTTTTTTTAGATCACGTTATTTTTTATTTTATTTTGTTCACATTCATTAGGTAGCACACCTATGGTGGAAAGTCTTTCTTCTTAAACGGTCTCAAGTCACAACCTCACACGAATACTGCACTAACCAGTCGTTTTTGTGACCTACAGGAATTTTCTGGTGGCACGACAGTCATTTCCAATGTAGTACATGGCGTTCTTTCACTAAATCTCAAGCCCGGTCTCAGATTGGTCCCATCGGTGTCAGCTAATGCTGTCGTGGCTGTGTAGGAGACCGCCGCTTCTTTTAGAGCACTTATCTGGGATCTGATCATGTATTCGTCTGCGCCAATCTTATATTAATTTTTAATGGCTAACAATTTATTTTCCTAAACGGATTGATGTAACCAAGTTAAATGCAGCCTTTATTGCAACTATGTATGAAACCGGGCTAGGTCCAAGGATGGCTGTCACCTCACAGAGAAGTATAGACCAGCACCGGCTGGATTTACATGATGCCACGGGAACGGCAAATAAAGTGGCTTGCGCGTTCGCTAGATGTTCCGCTTATAGGCACTGCGTTTTCTACAAGCTACTTACAACTCCTTGAGGCATATCATTCTACACGATCTCCGTCAACTTCGTGGATTCTATTCGAGGAAAAACGGTCCATATATTCATCCTCCGCCAAATGTTACAACATCGTCATACTTATCACAGGCCAACAATCGTTGGTTCTTTGCATTAGGACCTTCTTCGATTGGTTGGACAGGGCTGTACTCTGGGAGTATCCATTGAAGAAGGGTGTACCTGGGAAGTCCATTACCATCTTGAAAGCCCTATATACAAACAACTCAGACAGAGTGAGAACATACAACCACCTCTTTCCATTGTTTCATTTAAGCAGTGGGGTTAGGTTGGATTGCCTAAGCTCAACATTCCTCTTCAAGTTTGTCATCGATGACGTTCTGGAAACACCTCAGATTAACGTAAGTAATGACGAAGTAGATCTCTTGTCTGAAGGAACTTTTCCACCTTGAGTATGCGGATGATATTGTCTTACTGTGTGGTAACAGCGAAGCCATGCAATACGCACTTATTCAGCTGGAAACCAGCGTCCGTAGGTATGGCATGTGCTTGTCACCTTCTAAGTGCATGGCTGACAGGACCCTGAACCTCCACTTATTCTGAGTAGTGAGCAGACAGAAGTTATTTCTAATCACCTCCGTATTTATGAGTATATCAATTAACGTTGATTTTAAAATATTATAGGTTGTAAGCAGCAAATAAGAACCTAATGAAATAAAATGAATTCATATTATTCTGCATAAATCTTCGTTCTTGCTCTCTTCAAGATAGCAAAAAGAACTATGTGTATGAAAATGGGGATAGTTGGTAGTTTTTACGAATGGCACCGAAGTCCACTAGTCTTTCGTAACCATTTGATTCAAGCTGTTAATAGATGTCACATATCTCTCCAAGGCTTGGTAATGATAATTTGCTGCTGCAAGATCCTTTAGGTACTCAGCTAATTCTTCCCTAAATGCATCTTTAACATTATAGGTCTTCGAACTTATATCTAGGTCTTTCTGTAACATCTTTATGTCCACTAAAGCTATCGCTAAGGCATGATCGAGATACAGGCGTGCACAGCAGTAGGAGCGCCAGTCTACTGTTGATGTTCTCTAACAATAGTTGTTGGGAATTTCATTTATTTGTCCTCACTGTTGTGTTGAGTTTGGGGATCCTCAGATTACCCAGTATCTTTCTTTATGCGTAAAATTTGTGCTTACTAGGGACCACCGGTTTTCTGAGCATCCATAGTGGTTTGGTGAGGTCAAGTGAATGACCATGTACTTAGAGTCACAGCACACATCAATAGCGCGAGGCTATCATCTTAGTGACGAGTGATGTTCGGTTTTACACAGAGTTCAAGCACTAAAGAACGGTTTCGGACGACCTAGTACAGCATTTTGTTGAATCGAATCTTTAGAGTTGATGTAACACGTTGAAAAGTTGAAGATGGAGCAGGATTAATAGAGGAAGAATGGTGTTTGATAGTGAAATTAAATTTGATTAGTCACTGAGTGTGGGACAAAGCGGCACGCAACTTATTGGCTATCAAATATGTAATTATCAGAACGGGTTTGTGGAGATTTTAGAAATTTCACAGATTGAAATCATGAGTCAATCGAAGCTAGACCACCATGGAAAACCTGGAAGCACTGGACGGCCGTTTCGTTCTAGTACGATACTCCTCAGCAGTGCGCCCCCGCGAGATTCGAACCCAGGACCCATCAGTCTCGCGCCAGGCGCTTAATCAACTAGGCCACTGAGCCGGCATCCAATGATGTTAATGTCTAACTTCAACCAATCCACGAAGTTGCGCCACCGTACACTATTGTCTTGAGTGAGTTGATATCTCACAACAGACCTGGTTGAACATCACCGGGGTGCGGGATCGTGGATGAGCACTGCTGAGGAGTCCCATACTACGACGAAACGGCCGTCTAGTGCTTCCAGGTTTTCCATGGTGGTCTAGCTTCAATTTACTCATGATTTTAATCTGTGAAATGTTTAATTGTTGATTTCTACTCCGGACTCACTAAAAGTGAATGCTTGTAATTGTGTGAAATAAAGTATTATTTAGTGTTACTTTGATTCTCTATCCTTGTCGTCAATCGTACATCTGATATCATGTGATCTAGTCTGTGTATAGTGGATCGCTCAAGTATTCAATCTGGCGGTATTATAACCTCGGTCATCCAGACCAGTTTTAACATATTATTGTACTACCATATAATACTGTGGTGCGTGCTACTTATATTGATGTAAGTAGTATTCGGCGCGAGTTAAAAACATAACGTCTAGCAGCAGAAGATGGAGGAAGATCAAGAAACGAAGAGCGGGAACACAATGCAATTTGTAAGAAAACGCATGAACAATGAAATGTGAGACAATGGATTGATATTTTGCAAATTAACGACTTACTATATGGTTTTTCTATCTTACCGAGTAACTGTAATTTTGTGCTAAATACAATCCGATTGTCCCTACCCGTGTTCTCTTCACTACAATACTGCAGAGAGAGAGGAATATTTTAAACCATCCAATATATCAGACTAGAAGTAATATTTGGTGATGAAGATATGGTTTGTCCAGTCATGTTATTAGAAGTATGAGAAGAGTGATCATATCTCTGATGCCCACACTGAGGAAGCATATAACTTATTAGGAAGTCCGATTCTATGGGGAAAGGCAAGGTTGGACATATTTAGGGTCGATCTTTTCTAAACTCTTCCTTCATTTTGAGAAGGTGGAATCAGGGAAAATGCTCGTTGCCGGAGGGAAATACCTTACAGTCGTCACACCTCAGTGCAGCTAGCAGTACGGGTTCTCTTTTGGAAAATGAATTTGTTGATTTATTCATCACCGTCCCAGCCCCCAAAAGATCCGCTTAGCATGATACGACCTAAAAGAACAAATTTTCCAAGCAACATAGCTCCTCAGACTATTACAGTTTGATTAAGTCAGTGAAATTAATGTTACACGTTGGCACCAAGAAATTAGCTCCTGAAAGTAGAGTACATAAATCAACAACCGAAATAGTGAGTTGGTAAAAATATCCTTGAGAAAACGACTCCATATTATACAAATCAACTTCAATATGATCGAGCTACAATGAAATACTAAATCAGTTGTTATACATGTATTATTATTGTACTTCCTAATAGAAGAATTCCTAGGAACACGAAGAAATTAGATTGGTATGCAGTTGCAGTAATAATGGTTTTGAAATTATTAGTTAGCAATAGTAAAAGCTGTGCGGAATCTTAAGACGAACTTGCATTCGAAACTAGTCTTACTTGGTATATCCGACCACGACGTTGTAGTACAAGTTGTCTGAGAGATTGCCACCGAGAAATTTGTTCTCCAAGTTCTGGACCTGATGAAAAACGATATTGTTTGAATTCATCATTAGATACTATATAACACTGTGGACCAGACTTCATCGCCATATAGAGGAGGAATACATCGTCTTCTGATCTAAATAAGGAGAAAACTTAGTCTAGACAAGATAAAACAAATACAAAGACGTGTAGAGATATCCGATTGTAAATGTACAACGGTCAAACTTATTTCTTCAGCCTTAGTCCTACAGTTGTTTTTTGATGAATAGTATATATTCAAATAGTTTCAATGATTTGGCATTCAGAAGTACTGTTTATTTTAACTACAAGTGCCGTCGTGTACAGATTAACCATAAAGGATAGGTAATAAGCAGTTTTGGGATCTGAACCACACTACAGAGAACAAGATAGATCATACTTGCATTACTAAAAATTTCTGAAGGTCAATGGAAAACGTGAGAACCAAAAGAGGAGTTGACATAGCTTCAGATCATCACTTGGTAGTTGCCAAGATGTAACTGAAGCTAAAGAAACAGTGGACAACTGAGTAAATAGCATTACAAAGGTTTAATATAGTCTACCTTTGAGACAACAACAAATTCGAAATAATTCTCAACAACGGGTTGCAAGATTTACAAGATCTAAACAGAAAAGAGGAAACTACTATGGAGGACAACTGAAAAGGGATCAAAGAAGAACTAACTTCAATATTTCGGGAAGTACTGGGTTGCAAGAAGCACCATCATAGGGAATGGATCACTATCGAAACCCTGGGCAAGATTTAAGAAAGGAAGAATAAAAAGAGAGCGATTAACAACAGCCGGACAAGAGCAGAGAAAGCAAAGGCATACACTGAATAGACATAAGCCAATTAGTGAAGACGAGCTCACAAGCAGTAATATGTGGAAGACCATGCTACGACAGCGGAAACAGCTGCAAAAGAAGAAAATATGAGACAACTACATGGTACCAAGAAGAAACTAACAGGAGAATATTGTAAACCACAGCAACCAGTCAACAACAAAGAAGGTAAGCTAATCACTCAGATTCAAAAACAGGGGAACATGTGGGTAGAGCACTTTGAAGAAATCTTGAATACGCCAGGCCACTGTACCCACCAGACATCGAAGTAACCCACACTGGCTTTCCTATAGATATCACTACACCAACCATCGAGGAATTCAGCATGGTTACCAGACAAACAAAGAGTAGGAAAGCTGCAGGACCAGACAACATACCAGCTGAAGCACTGAAGTCAAACACAGAAACCACTGAAAAGACACTCAATGTTCTATTCAGGAACATTTGAGAGGGAAAGGAAGTACAGAAAGACTGGGAAGAAGAATACCTCATCAAGATACCAAACAAAGGAGACCTGAGCAAACGTCAAAACTACATAGAAATCACACTACTATCGGTACCAGGAAAGGTTTTCAACAGAATGTTGAAGAACTGGATGAAATACTCAGTAGACGCCCAACTTTGAGATCAGAACATTGAATTCCGCAAAAATCAGTCGTGCAAAGACTAAATCGCAATACTACGGATCATCGTTGAACAATCAAATGAATGGAACTCGTCACTTTACATCAACTTCCGTGACGATGAGAAAGCGTTCGACAGTGTGGATAGGAGGACTTTATACTATCTTCTTCGACATCACGGTGGACATGAGAACATAGGTGCCTTCGAAATAGTGCTCGTATATCCTGGAACCATCGGATAAGCAATGCAGTTGTTAGGAAACCGGTACTAGGTAAGGATGGCAAATCAATTGATGAAGTAGTGAAACTTAATCAGTTGAGATGGCTGGGACACGTGTTACGTATGCCCAACGACCGACTTCCTCGATGTGCGATGTTCAGTGGTATAGGAGTAGGTTGGAAGAAAGCTAGGGGTGGCCAGACCAAAACATGGCACAAGTCCATGAAGTCACTGACAAGTGGTCTGAGTCATGTCGGTAGGTGTAGACTACTTGGTTGGGGACCGCGAGATGATAGTAACCGATGGTTAGAGACCCTGAATGACATGGCTCAAAATCGTTTGCAATGGCGCAGGTGCATACACTCTTTGTGTTCTCTCAAATTTTGATCTCTTTATTCCTCCTTGTCTCATTTTTTTCTCTCCTCTCAAATTTATTTCACTGTATTATACTCTTCATGCAACATCTCCAAACACTAATCTTCCCGATTACTGCTTATACTCTTGCTTCCTCTACCAATACGGGATTTGAATCGACCACTGGATCTCTGTGCTAATGTGGTGTGGCAACTCGAACTGATGTACATACGTACGAAGTTCTCCGTTGTTACTGACTGACGTTAAAGGTATATGTGAACATTTCAGAATATTACACTACAACATAAGTGTAAAACTTGCTGGGAATAAACTGCTTACTGAGTGTAAGTAAGAAGTACCAAACAATATACAAAAGCGGAAAGGTGAGTAAGAGCAATGTAAGACAAACTTATCATATATATATATATAGACTTACGAAGAATTTGTACAGAATTTTTGAACAGAAATACCCAACTGATTTCCTAACATTTTAATTGGATTCCAAAACTCTGATTTACGTATGATTGTATTCCCTTTACTGACAAAACAAAAACGCCGAAGATTGAAATCTTTGTTGATCTGTCTCAAAACCTAAACAAAAACGGTTTAGATAAAAAAAGTCACTGATCAGAAGTGTTTAGATCTTCGAATAAAATGCAGAACTTAAGCTTTCTTGTGTTTTAAGCTGTGATTTATAAACTGAAAAAGAAGATTTGTAAGATATTTATTACTTGTTAAACGGCTGGAGGCAGGCAGATTACATATCTCCACCTGTAGACCTCCTAGGGCTACTGCTGGTCCCAGGCTTGGATAAACAGAATGGGTTGAGCAATGGGGTCAGAAACTCTATCCCTTAGAAAACAACATTGCTATTTTAAAAAATGCTAACCATAGAAAAGAATTTAAACCCTTTAAACTCTTCAATGTGTGTTGAAGGATCTTGGTTTAGAAGTATGACGCTTCATAGTGAAAGCCGAGATTCTTCGGAAATCATGAGGATGATGCCTCTTCTGACAACCAGAGCAACAATTAATATAGATACACAGAATGCCCGCATAATGTGGTAGGTCCAGTCAAATAGCTGCAGAAATGAAGAGATACAACGTGGTGGTCAGAAGAAGTGAAACTTATTGTACCCAATCTAGACAGACACAGTTATATTCGGGAGAGATAAAGTCGTGCTTCAGTCATCAAGAAGAAAATGCTTCGCGCATACAAGAAGCTGCACTGACGCTATCAAAAGAAGCAAGAAGAATACATAAGTTGGGAATTCCGTGGATCCAAAATAATTAGAGCATTCCTCAAAACAAAGGAGAGAATCACAATGAATGTCATTCAGTCCTATGCGCCCAGCAAAGAAAGCGAAGGCAATGAAGATCAGTTTAATGAAAGGTTGTAGTCAGTCGTAGAGAAGTGAACGGGAAAGTACATGACTATTTTGATGGGAGAACTGAACGTCAGTCGTAATGAATAACACTGGGTAAGAAGACATCATTATTTATTTGTTTATTTTGACACATAGATATTGGTACAAGGATGCATTGAATACATATGCGCCACACAAGTCTTATTTGATATGTGTGAGGGCTGTGATACTGCCCGGGTGCCCGAACCGAAGCAGGTGGTTTTCTTAGGGGGCCACACCCCGAGCCTTCGATCTGAAGGTCCGATCAACAAGGCAGTGGAGTATTGTAAGGAGATGCAGTCCCATGGTAGCCGGTGACCAATAATTGGTTCATACGCCATTTGTTCCCTCAGGATATTGGAGCCCATGTGCACCATTGGTTTGGGATCCGGTTAAAGCGCCGGACATCATGAAATCATGTGGACTAGGAGCAAGGGCCGAGATTGACGAGAGGTGTGCAAATTTATGTATCTTCAACAGAATGATTATCAGGAGCAGTTTGGTGAGCGGCCTATGCTCCTCCACGAGGGGTATCAGTTTTGCGTTATATATATATATATATATATATATATATATATATATATATATATATATATATATTGGATGTAAACATTTACATAATACATCTACTCAATTATTTCCCGTACATTTTTGTGTTGAGATGTGCAGCCGCTTGGAAGAGCATAACTTTTTCCAAGTGCTAATTTGTTATATTACGTGGAATATAATGGTAATGAGGAACGAAGTATTCCACTTTCTGTTCCCTAGATAGTTATCACAATCTTGCACTGGTTTGTTAGACAAATTCACAACGCAATAGTTTTGGATGATTCAAAAGTCACTGAGAAATATCTGCAGCGAAAAGTAAAGACCCAAACTTAAGGTTCAAAAACTGTGATTACAAATACGTTGGTTATTGTACTACTGACGGCTCCAAGGATTCGTGAATATTATGAGTATTTAAAAAGCCATGATAATATCGTTGATTTCAATATACATTAAAGCCTTAATCAAGAGATTTATTGAGGAAACTCCGAAAAACCTAGTGCTTTCAAATCCAAATACTGTAATAGAACCACTTGAACTTAATAATAAAATGAGATATTTACCAAAAAGCACGTATTCGTAAATCTACTATACAGATTAACGATACAAGAGCAACAAAATCATAAAAAGATAAATAACATCAATTGTCAAGCATCAGATTACGAAAAGAACAATTTCATAAAAAAGTGAGCAAAAATTGTGACAAGAAGCCTGAGACACTCATGAGATAAATAAATGTTTCATTTTACTAACCAGTCAACTCAATCTGATGACAGTATCTTCACGATGAGATAAAAAAGCTTGAGTAGTGCGGAGGTGGCCATTAAACTAGGTTACCCTATTGTTATTGATGTAGAATAAATAGTGATAACTGTGATACCATACAAAACACTCTTACTCGCTTCAGACTTGACCCCCCGTCTTCAACTACTCCATAAACCACATCTTATTAAGAACGTTTATTTGATGAGATTGGATTTACGTCCAAGCTAATTCAGTTATATATCGATTCAGTGACTATTAGTTACAGAGTTTTGTTACCTAAGTAATTGTCACCGAATACAAAATCATAGTGAAGTAATCATTACAAGGAAAGTCTATTGAGAATCAAATAACTGATACAACTGGCAGATACTGAAATTTAATGAATAGAAGTTACGGCAGTGTGTTGGAGTTAACTGAGAGAAAATCATCTCAAATCAATGTGAATAATTAAGATTGATTTCTTTCACTGTACGTTGTCTTGTGGGATGTAAAATCCGGAACAGCGGGATAGACGAATGAAATGTAAAAGCACTAGACAGACTAGCTTAGGTATTACATATGACAATGTAATATGAATAATCAGTTAGCTTTGGATACACAGTTACTGCTTTTCTGTCATAATCATATTCCGTTCTAACGACTGGATTTAATTTCGTTCACGAACTAGCTGTCAGCTTCAATGCTTTACGCCGTTTTGGGGAATATAGTATCCCGAACAACTACATATAGTGACTGATTTCTGATAAGTATAACCGATCAAGAACAAAACCGGTTTGTTAGTCCGTCTTATATATTAACCAGGATATTGATGATTAAGTTAAAGACCATGCTGAAATAAACTAACTTGGCTTTTCTGTGGAAATGACTTGTGAATTGTCAAAATCATTGCACAATTTAAAAGGGAACTAACTAAATCATAAAGATTTGAAGCATGATGATTCTTATAAGTCATTGAAATAGATCATCAGTAATTAATAGTTTATTTATACTTAGTATAAAAATATGGATGTCTGTTACTTGCAGAAGTCAGAGAGAGAGGCCGCGTAATACCTTAATGTAGGTGAATATCCGAGTAGTCATACATTATATTAAAAATCAGAACAGAAAACAAAAGTAAAAACGATGTACACAAGTAATAGAAAGCTTGAAGACAACAATTTTAGGACTTTTAATGGTCTTTTGTAAGTGTTTGAATCTTCCTGTTGTTGAAGGTTTGAGAGTGTTCAGTCTACTTTAACATATTTCCACCTTGAACGGATTGCTTCAGTACTGCAAATAATTCATGTTTTTTTCAGCAAAATGCTGGGTTTGAGTCACGGTTCGAACGCCTATATTAGAATACACGTACATCTAAATAACGACTCCGGAATATGACGAAACACGCGTCCTGGACTCCGCAAAGACTCACTATCCAACTATATTCAAGGACTTCAAATGACAATGCTTAAAATGATATTAAAGATTTAGGTGGAACATGAACAGTAGTTTGTAACGCCGACACTAAATGAGCTGAGTCATTTTCTTCAACCACTGACTGAATGTCTAACTGGGATTAATCAAGATATCTAGTTAGTTATACGATTCATACTAATAAATAGAAACTAAATGAACTGCTGCAATAGCGTGGTTTGAATACTTGGGAGCTTATTACTTGTGTATGTATGTTATTTGTCGGATACAGAAACAGACAAAATCAACATCAAAAATTAATACCAATTATCTTGAAAATATAACCCTTCTTACTAGCAGGAATATTGGCTGTAAAGAAGGTTAAATTACTAGTATATGTAAGCACGGATGATAACTTAGTAGTTCAGGTTACTAAACTAAATATAAAACATATATTTAAATGCAATCATCAATAACTTTTTTACAGTCACACTTTAGTGGTTTAAAGTCAAATACTAAACTACTAATATTTGAGTGGTAGCTTAGTAGGTAAAGTAATTTCTGTTCAACCTGCATGTGTTGTATTCGAACTCTGATCCACTCGCTTCGGTTTCAGAATAAGGATATTATTAACTTCTACACGATATAGTGTAGCTAAACACTGAGTACATAAACCTGTACATGATAATTTGTACTGAGAACTTCAGTAAACAATGAAAATAGTTAAAATTGCTGATTTACTTGTTGAGCAAATTAAAGTTACCTCAGCAACCTGCAATCCTGACGAATCGGAAGAGAGAAATTTGCGCATATTCATAAGATTCATAAAATCGATAATACAATCTAAGGGTTCACTTTGAGAATCAACAAATCGTTTTAGAGTCATAACTTCATTCGATGTTGCTGTTAGATATAAACTTTCAATATCTGTCCCCTGGAATTAGTAAAACAAGATCAAATTCTAAAAAATGTGCACATTACCTTTATCACTGTTTCATAAAATGCATCAGCCATTCGGGAAAAATGAAACTGTGACATGTCTGGTGGTGGTAGACTTTTTCTACATACTGAACATAAATAGCCTCTATAGAAATTTTACAGTTTGACAGCGGATTCATAATAATTTAGTAACAACTAACCTATTAACAAATGCAGATAAAACTCCTGACCAACGTTCATGCTTCAAATTTGCAAACCAACGTTGAATACATTCAGCAATCTCATCAGTAATTATCCATCGATGTGTTTGCATTATTTGAAATAACTGACTGACTAAACGAACAGATTCTTCTTCTTTTAGCCCATTTAACTTATTAAAAAATTCATAGAAAACATTTTCTCGTGGTGAACCATTTAGTTTGTGCATACATTCAAAAAAAGAAGAGATAGTATCAAATTTTAAGGCGGAAGAACACATTTGTTCATAAATTGCTGAATTATCACATTCCTTCGTTTCTGAAGAGAATAATAATTCAGGTGTGTCTCTCCAAAACGGCGTCCGTGCGACCGATTTCGCTATATCATTTTGAAAAACTTTTTTTTCTACGGCATTTAATCGAAGCAAAAAATAATCGTACAAACTTTTGAATTCAGTATAACGTTCTTGAATGCCTAACAATTTTAATGTACACATTAATGTAGCATTGCTATGTTCATTTATATCACTCAAAATGTAGTTGGTTAATGATCTTCTTAATTCAGGACAATCATGATAACTAGCGTAGTTCAGAAGACAAGGCCAAAATGATAAGTGAGTTGAAGGTAATTTGTTGTTCATATCTCTACAATCACTAACTGAAACAGTAAAATCACCTAATGGTGATAAAACAGAGTTAATGTATGATCTCGAAATATCCTGTTTTGTTGCATTTTCAAATAATGTAGTAATTTTATAATTTGATTTACTGAAAAATCTTCCCTGAATGGTATATATACAACAGTTGTAGAAATGAAACTTTTGATAAAATAAACGATACATTCGATAAGCTGACATATTTTTTCAAGCTATAAAGAAATTCATAAGCTCTGTGGTAAAGTGGAACACCATAATTTTTCAAATTCCACCGTAAAGCTTATTGTTTGGCGTAACTAGGAGTGCAAGAAAAGCATAGAAAGTAAGTGATATGTATATTTATATTATCATAATTGTACATTTATAGCTTTTCGATACTGGTAACAAGTGATGGTAATACATAAAAAGCAGTCCAAAAATTTCAAACTTACTCATTCACAGTAAAAATACAATTATTAAATTAGTGGTTAAATTTGTCAACTTTCAGCTACCGATTGGTTGTTTCATATTCCATCTTATCTATTTGAATTTTGACAGACGGATAGTATCACCAGCTGTCACAAACTGAATGATTTAAAGTTAGGAACTTAGACATGTTTAGTTACTCTGTTACATTAGAGTACATTTTACAAACAACTATCAATTTGATCTTAACGCGGCTTTTTAGAACGAAATCCGCTTCCAAAACAAATAAAGAACGAATGAACTTAGTATACTATATTAGATATGAGAGTAATGGCTATATAATGTCTCTCAACCCTATGGGAACGAATACAACATGTGAGGGGTTCATCTGGTCCGAATTATACTTAACATTCAATGTTAATGATTCTGATAGATTTTAAGGATGGTAATCTACGAAATTGATTTGAAAACTTTAAAATCTATTCACTAAAAACAAAAATTGAATTGTATACAGTTATAATGGAACTGAAAATGCTATCAGTTGAAGATATTGCTCCTGGGTCTGAAATAAAACACACAGTATTAAAATACCAGGTTATTTAACAACAATGTATTATTTACATTTTTAAAATAACCAGCTGTGAGTTGATACTAATGGGAAACATAACAGATGCAGGAAATTTTAGATAACATATACGTTGTTTCTATCCGGAGGGTAGGTACACTGATTGCTAACTGATTAAGTGCGGATTGCATGGCTTGGGCATTATCGCACAGTAAGAGAATATCATCCGCATACTCAAGGTCGAGAAGTCTTTCTCCAGACAATAGATCCACACCACCATTACTTACATTCATCAGAGCTGTTTCCAGAATGTCATCGATGGCAAAGTTGAAGAGGAATGGTGAGATTGGGCAACACTGTCTAACCCCACTGCTGAAATGGAACAATGGAGAGAGGTGGTTGTATGCCCTCACTCTGCCTGAGGTGTTTGTATATAAGGCCTTTAGGATGTTAATAAACTTCTCAGGCACACCCTTCGTCAATAGAAAATCCCAAAGAACAGTCCTGCCCTGGTATGGCCGAGAGTGGGGTGAGCTCGCCCTCCCTCTCGAAATACTCTCACACGGTCACGCGTATACAGCCTCTGCCAGGGAAGTCCTACTCATTGCACTATTGTTGTTTTCCGAATTAAGAGGATGAAAATCGAATGTCCTGCACTTTAACCGGGCCCGTCGACACGGAGAGTCCACCAAGAGGATTTGAGAAACCCTGATTTCAAACCAATAGTGCACATAGGCTCAAGGATCCCGAGAGAACAAATGGCGTATGAACCAATAGTTGGTCACCGGCTATCATGGGACTGCATCTCCTCACGATTCTCCACTACCTTATGGATCAGACCTTTGTGTCAAAGGCTCGGGATGCGGCTCCCTAAGAAAACCACCGACGTCGGTCTGGGCACCCAGGCACCATTATAGCACTCACACAATTAAAATGAAATGATAACGATCATTTAATAAACTGCTCTCATTCCTATTGCAATCTAAACAACCCATACCTATTTGATAACATCCTTATATTTTTAGTTTTTATGTACTACGTCACTTATCTACCCTCTTGCATTCTTACTTTTAAACTTATATAACAGTTCGAATATAGTAGAAATTCTGTTCTATCTAAATGACCTCGAGTCACTTCCTGGTTGAAAATTGTATGCTACCACCAAGTACGAATACTCAAACAGTTTTTCTGAAACCACATGCACCATTTAAACTGGCTGCCTTCAACGTTCGCACACTTATGTAGATCGGACAACAAATAGGGCTAGCTATGTCTTTGGAAAGTCTTAATATCGACATCTGTTGTTTTACATGCGCTTATCCGGGGACACTGTGGCATCTTTGTCTGGTCTAGTTGGAGTTGGTGTCGCACTAAGACCTAGAGCTGAGGCAGCACTAATCGATTCGATCCCCATTAACAGTCGGTTATGTGCTGTTAGATTAGAAAGTTCCATTAAAGTGAGAAGAAATCAGCGTGAGAAACGATGTCTCTTCGTCATCTCCGCCTATACTCCGACAGATTGCAGCCCGGATGCAATCAAGGATGAATTCTACCACCAGTTATCTGTTCTTCTCCAGAAAGTGCGTTCGACAGATATTGTAGTACTAGCCGGCGACCTGAATGCTCAGGTCATGCGTCTAGGCACAGAAGATAGTCGTTTAGGTGGCCGATGGGACTTGGTCACAGGACAGATAACGGGGATAGAGCCGAATTTCCACCACAGGCGAGCTGTTGTATAAGTAGAAAAATAAGGATACACAGAGTGTGAATAAAAGAGTGAATGAGTCAAGATCACTTTTTAATGTCAGTCAGTCAGTAACAACGGAGAACTTCGTACGTACGTACATCAGTCCGAGTTGCCACACCACATTAGCACAGAGATCCAGTGGTCGATTCAAATCCCGTATTGGTAGAGGAAGCAAGAGTATAAGCAGTAATCGGGAAGATTAGTGTTTGGAGATGTTGCATGAAGAGTATAATACAGTGAAATAAATTTGAGAGGAGAGAAAAAAATAAGACAAGGAGGAATAAAGAGATCAAAATTTGAGAGAACACAAAGAGTGTATGCACCTGCGCCATTGCAAACGATTTTGAGCCATGTCATTCAGGGTCTCTAACCATCGGTTACTATCATCTCGCGGTCCCCAACCAAGTAGTCTACACCTACCGACATGACTCAGACCACTTGTCAGTGACTTCATGGACTTGTGCCATGTTTTGGTCTGGCCGCCCCTAGCTTTCTTCCAACCTACTCCTATACCACTGAACATCGCACGTCGAGGCAGTTCACTTTTTAATGGTGGTTTAGGAACTAAGGATTTCGCAGAACATTAGTTAATACACATGTTGATTTAGACATGTTTAACGAAACACTACAAGCTTAGTATTGGCGAATGTAATTTTAAATACTCATATGCAGGTAGTTTGTAGTTACCAACTATTAATCTTACACTGAAAGCAGACTGGAGTACGCGACATCCACCAATGTCAACGGGTTTCTCCAGCAGCAATATGCAAACAATCACTCATCTAGTCGAGAAAATGTGATTATAGACAGTTAATTGTAGTAAGTAAATACGTTTTTAGCCTTTATTAAGTGACATTGGATGAATGAGAAGTAAAGACGAACACAACGTTACTGCGAGTTGCTGGTTTACTCTTGACGTTAAAAAAATATACCCCGAATTTCTAATTGTATTCAACAGCAGCTCTGTTGCCACACAAAACGAATTCATTTTCTACCAGTGGTATGTATTCCTATGATTTTAGAGATCAATAAAGTATAACAGAAAACGGTGTCAAATGTATAACACGATGACGCCATACAAGTAATCAGAATTGTTATTTAAAAATAGAGAACAATCTAATAGGCTCAATCAAAATCATTTGGACTTTGAAAAATCAGATAAACATAACAGGAACAACTAGTTCTAATTAACTAAAAAAATTGATGCTTTAGCAACAAATTGTCAGTCAGAAGCTAGATCAAGTACAAAACATAGATTTGTGTGTGAAAACATATCAAATGAGTTTCTAAGTGATTAGTTTTGTGTAGTCCCTAAAGAAAGCGATACCAATCAATCCATCACGAATGGAATGTTACAATTTTCACCATGATTATATGGAGCGTTAATGGTTATCAAGCACATCAAAAAACCTCCAGATTAATTCGTAAATTAACAGTAAAGAGTGAGGTTATCTGGTAAGTTTACAGGCCTCATCTTTGATATAATGGAAAATCTATTTACTTAAATACATAAAAATTGGTACAAGGAAACACCAAACAGATATACGCCACAAATCATCATTTGATTTGTGTGAGGGCTTGGGTACTGCCCGGGTGCCCAAACCGAAGCAGATAGTTTTCTCAGGGGGCCATATCCCGAGTCTTCGACCTAAAGGTCTAATTTCCAAGGTAGTGGAGCAACGTCAGGAGATGCAGTCCCATGGTAGCCGGTGACTGACAATAGGTTCATACGGCATTTGTTTTCTTAGGATCCTGGAGCCCATGTGCACCATTGGTATGGAATCAGGGTTTTCTAACTCCTACGTGGATTGTTCGTATCTACCAATCCGGTGGGAGCAGGACATTCGCTTTTCGTTCTGTCAACTTCGAAACAATAATAATGACACGAGAAGGTAGTGAGTAGGATTTCCCTGTTAGTGACTGTAAGCAAGTGGTCATGTGAGATTGTTTCGAGAGAGAGAGAGAGAGAGAGAGCTGACTTTCCCCACTTTCGACCGTACCATGGGACTTGGGGGATAACTACCTACAGAGAACTTAGTTATGCCGCATACAATTGCACTACGAAGGAATAGTATCAGAACATTAGGATATATCGGGAAGAAAATCTAGTCTCAGAGATGATTTACTTTGGAAAAATAAATATTCCAAGTGTTCTGACATGAAATTTCTGGGAGTGATAATTTTATATTGGAAATTCCTTTCACTAGTTATGAAACAAAAATACTATGCTTGAAATACTTGATGTGTACCGCTAGCTGTATTAAAAGTTCGGCTGCACCGATCATGAAAATGACGCAGTGCTGTATGAACGAAAATTCTGAGGTGATTTCATGCGTTGAATACCTACATATTTTTTATGTATTTGATTTCAGGTGTGCATCCTGTTCATCCGAATTTTAGATTTAGCCTTGTCAGGAACAAACGTTTCGCGTGGAGCTGCTGGCAGAATAAGTACAGGTATGCAGTCACATCTACTGATTGAATTTATCATTTAAACTTATAAACTTACAAAAGCGAGTTTAAAACAGTTAGGATCAAGTATGGGGATAAAATGAGGACTCCAGACACACGGTACCGCTCTACTTTGACTTGCCTTATCAAATATCTCAAACCACATTCAAACAAAATGTGTTCTGGGTCGTTTGACCTTCCAGCTTCCATAATTATCTTCAATTATGATAACAGGTCTATCAATTTAATTTTATCGTTACTGAAAGTCTGACTTTGAAGACCCGGTTATATTCTGTAAAAACTCATCCTCGGAGCTAACCCATTATTTTTATTCATACAGTGTCCCAATTATTAATCAGTCAATTCGATAAACCTAAGTTTATTTAGCACTGAGTCTCAAGCTCTGTCATATTAATTAGTCCTAGATGGAGGATAAAAATATAACATGTTAGCTATCGAGTAATAATCCGAAACGAGGGATATCTGTATTGTAGCACCTGTTATACTGTGGTCATGTTGAGTGATTGAGATCAATGATCAAAAAATTTTCCTGTAATTGAGATGATTGTCTGACGAATGAATCCGGCTGTGGCGTACTCAGAACTGGCTTAAATTGTACTGCGGGTTTCAGGTGAAGTGAGTGGAAATCCTTTTGTGCATTGTTGTGTGTTTACGGCTGAAGAAGGTTCTTTCAAGTGTCGACTGAATCGCTTCACTATGTCACTAATTCGGGATAGTAGGCAGCATCAATCCCAAAAGTTCGACTGATGCCTGGGATAATCAGGATTTAGGTTAGTGCATGCAGTCTAGAATATTAGCTGATAATAATAATAATGATAATGATAATAATAATAATATGATCACAGATAACAAAGTGCTACATAAAGCAGGCCAGTCTACAGGCAACATAAAGTTGTTACAAACGCTACATGCTTTGATCTACTAAGTTACTCAATTACGTTAATAAGTCATAGCCCATATGGGCGATCTAAACAGGGGACAAATTTTCACATATTAGAATTTTAATGTGAGCGCGATTCTAAT